TTCTCAAGCTTTGCGATTATTCGCATTATTTTTCAGAAGAGTTAGTTTTTTTTTTTTTTTTTTATTGCTGTTTTTCCATTTATTCTTCATAGCTGTCGTGTCGCTGATGTAATAAAGTTGTTTCATACATATATTTCTGAAAGCTACTGCAGATATATTTCCTCCTTTGGGGGGGGGGAGGGGAACTTACAGCATCTGCTTTATGCTTTGAGTATTTTCAGTCGTAGATTAAGAGATACCTCTAAGGAATTTACTAAAACTTTCGGAAGAATGTGAGAGCTAGTGAAACTAAAGCAGAAGATCCACTGGAGGAGTCGTTAGTAATTCAAAAAAATTATTTCCTTTACGTTACATCACATTTTGTATTACAGGTATAAGAAGTAGCATAATACAGAAATGCTCAGAAATCTGAACAATATATTAAACTGGGCCTGGTTTATTTTTTCATTCCGCGTAAATAAAAGCAGATAACAAAACATTAATTATTATTAAAGCATAATAGATTGCTTTATAAACCTGCTACAGATAGAAAATCAGTTTAAATTTTTCTCACTACCGAAAACTAATTATTTTATTAATTTAGTCTCTGCAAATATCTTCATTCGTTTGTAAGATAAAACAGCTTATTATTACGGGAAGAAGTGGCATCATAAATAAAATATTAATAAGTGGAGAAATCATGTAACAAATTTCCTGAAGAATAATGCTTCATTACTCATACTTTGAGAAGTAGGAGTAGATATTAAGGTGTGTTTTTGTTCCCACCCTAACTGTATATAACGCGCTTAACGCTATAAAATATCGAAACTCATCTCATTTATATTCCTTTCACAGGATCGCTTAAATTTAACCTGGCGCCGTATGATACAACAGTATGGCGGCTGACATAAATTTTTCAGAGTAAACCAGAAGGGCTTATTTGAAGTAACTCACTCTCACGAAAGATAACCACAGCTTTTGCTTGCGTTAGTTGATCTTCCAAACTAAGTATGTGGTAAAAACATTAAAAGGATTGGCCATGCATATGAGTGGGATATTATACCTTATTCAACTGCGTAAGCACACAAGAACCTTTGACTTATGTGGCTTATTCCTGCAAAAGAAAGTTATTGGGTTTTGTTCATATCAGTTGTTAAATTATTAGACCTTACTGTCAGAACTTGTGTTGAGTTATAGTTATTAAGTTATTATTTTTGATAGAGATTTATACGATGTTATTCTTACAAGAAATGGCTTAGATCATTTGAATTTTGATTTCTTATATTATTAATGAAGAGCTTGTGACCCGGATGTCTTTTCTCGGTTTGGTCCGATTTAATAAATACAAAGTCGAAAAATCAATGCACATGATTTGCCTTGTTTTTAATAACTAAACTTTGAACAGTATTTTCCTCGTCGAATTTTCAAACATACAAGCAGCGGCATTACTGTAACTCATTGGCATATGCATATACAAATAAAAGACAGTGAAAAGACGTTTGTACAATTTGGACTGTGCAACATACCACGAACGATCACCAGCAAGTTTACATATTTGGTATGATTAATATCATATACACATATGACAGCTTAAAATGTGTTTTTAATTTAATGTAATGTTATTTCAATAGCATTTTAATATATAACTAAATCATTGTGTTGAATGAACTAATTTTGTAACATAAATAAATTTTGTACTCACAAAGTTTAGAAATTTTAGTTTCACAATGCATAAAAGTAGCTTAAGGTGTTCTTTATTTTTCAATAACATAAGATATCCCGTCATTTTTCCGAGAATGTATGGTAATTTTCTAAAATTAGAAGCACAGTTTTAGAGATTCAGTGGTAGTTCTTCTAATTTGTGCAGATTATTAAACTTTTGCTGTGTGAAGTACTGAAATTTAAAATTTAAATACGGCAAAAGTAATATGTTTGAAGCATGGTTTTAAGATTTTTTTATAATTAGAATTAGCTCATAAATATATCAATGGTATTCATCAGGAAAGGAAAAGGGATTTCGTTAAAGATTACTGAACTAGCTTTTATTTATATTGCGCATTGCACAAATGTTAAACTATTTTTTTTTCTTTTTAATGACGTAATATTTGTCGCTCAGTTGAAATGTAGATTAAAAAAAAAACATAAAATTGTTGTATATAGCAAATTGTTCATTAAAATTATACTGTTTATTGTTACAAAGTTCAGCAAGCGCTGTACCTACTTTCACTAAACAAATTTCGACAAATGTGTTCAAGTCCTTACAACTTAATGGTGGTGTATTTAATTATGGCAAAGCACACTAGGGCTATCTGCCTAAGAGGAGGGATGCCTTCGTGGAGGACTTTCTAAGGAAAACTGGCTCGTATACACGTTACACATGGGGAAAACCACGAAAACGCCCATGCAGCCAGCCCGTTCGCGGGATTCGAACCTCGGACCGAACTACCAGTGTTCAGCGACTTTACCGCTCGGCCGCTGTTGGGCCCTTACAACTTAATGAGCTAAAATGTCTTCTAACAATATTTTACTTTGAAACTATGTTAAAAATGACATATTTAAACAGAAATCCAGAGATAAAATTAGTTAATAATTCTTTCAAATTAGTCTGATAATTATTAAAGCAATCAAAAGAGTGTGTATTAGTTGGAGTTTTGATTAAAAATGCTTGCAGAAAATGCCATATACCCTTTTTACTGCCTTATATAAAGAACTATATCGAAAGAGATACATTATATATTACATTTATACCTACGTATATATACATATACGGGTATATCTGCGGTCAGCATTCCATGCTCACCGCTCTTTAGCATCGTCTCTCCTCCTCTCAAGCACCCTCACTTAAAACGCTTCTCGGCCTAGGGGATATGAGACCTCAAGTAGATGGAGTTTGACGTCCGGTTTGGTTTGGTTTGATTTATTTAATTATGGCAAAGCACATGAGAGCTGTCTGCCTAAGGGGAGGATACTTTCGTGGAGGACTTTCTAAGAGAAGCAGGCTCGTAGGCACAAAAAACCGCGAAAACACCTATACAGCCAGCCCGTTCGCCAGGATTCGAACCCCCATTTTTCAGCGCCTTTACCGGTTAGCCTTTGGTGGGCTGTTTGACGTCTGATACGACCAAGTCGGACAGAGCAAGTTCCTACGGAAAGTCTGATCCAGAACTATATTTCTACAGTTTTTGCTGCAGCTGGTTGTGCTGCAACTCAAAGATACCTTTCTTTCCTATTTCTGTACGTTGCTCGCCAGCGTCTGAACGGTTAAGATCTCTAAACAGTGGGAGCTCGACTCCATCTGTAACGAGAATATGAGCTATTTTCCCTTAGAAAGACCTTAGACCTTCACACAGGTAGAATTCAAATAACTGACATAAGCTAAATAATTAGCTTATGTAATTAATAATAATTAGCTAAATAATTAGCTTATGAACTGGATTATGTTAAACTTAATCCATTTCAATCTAAATCTCCTTCCTGCCCAGGGACTACTGGTTTTCTCTTTGTATACCTGAAATAGTTCATGAGATTCCTTATGGAATAAGACATTCTAAGAAATAAATGAGTTTAAAATTCTTTGTGTCTGAAAATTATTTCACGATTTTCAGGTATTAAATTTATTTTGGATTCGGTTAAATTATTTTTAGAATGAATTGAACCATTGGTGTTAAATGGATTAGCTTCTTTGACTGAATGATCTTGATTACTAATTTCGGTTTGGTTTATTTTATTTACTGCAAATCACGCGAGGACTATTTGTCTAAGGGGAAGAATGCTTTCGTAGAGAACTTCGCAAGAGAAATTACCTTGTATTTAAGTTACAGGTGGAGAAAACCTCGAAAACTGCATTGAAGCCAGCCCGTTCATCGAAATTCGAACCCGGGTCGATTCAGCGATTTTACGGCTACACCTTTGCTCGGTTTTCAGTGCTAAGTTTCTGAAAAATGGTGACTTAAAACTATGGTCACTCTTTAAGTTACAAGTTTAAAAGTCTTCGATAAAAGATTCCCCTCCTTTTTTTGTAGTTTAATTTATTTTCCTTTTTTGCATAATTTAAATTATTGAACTACAAAAGACATGGAATTTGGAATTCAGGAGGTTTAGTTACTGACATTTTACGATTACTCGCACTCATATTTATACGTATGTCAATGTTTTCACGAATAAAATTAAGCGTGATGGGAAAGAAAGGAGAAATTCAGATGGTTTTGCGTGCACGAAAGCTTTTTCACTTATTTCATTTTGTATCTGCGGTCAGCATTCCGCAGATACAAAATGAATTTTGTATCTGCGGAATGCTGACCGCAGATACAAATTTGTATTGGCTCTTCATTTTTTTCCGAAAAAATAAGAACCTGCTGAACATTTTCCCTTTTTACATGATTATACTACGGAATAATTTTACCCTGATATTTATAAGAAATTTCAGTTTAGTGAAAACTGTACGTAAAAGCTAAAAGAATACAAAAGAAGTATTAAAGATACTTACTATATTCATAGAATAAAATTTAAGCTTTGATTAAAAGGAATTTAACAGAAAGGAAAATATTAGTATTTTGATTGATTTCAGAAAAGTGTTTTTCAGATATTTAATTATTTAACTTCAAAATAGTAATAACAAAAGTGATGATGTTTATTTACATTCTACATTTGTAAATTTAATTTAAGTAAATTTCAAAAAATTTTTTATTTAAAAAATTTAAAAATTTAAAAAAATTGAATTTTTTCAAATCAAATTAATTAATTTTTTTAGTATATATCTTACTATGTATACGAGTTGTACGAGTATGTACAACTCGTATACATACATGTGAAATTTGTTTTTTAAATCAAATTTATTAATTAATTTTTAGTGTATGTCTTACTATGTATACAACTGTATGTCTTACTATGTAAATTAATTTCATTAATTAAATAATTAATTAATTTTTTTTAGTGTATGTCTTACTATGTATACGAGTTGGCTTTGGGTACGAGGCGATGACTGTAATCTTTTTTCTTTTTTCTTTTTTTTTTTTTTACAGACGGAGCAGGAAATGTGCTACGCATGTGGACAACGCATAGCTGACCGCTATCTCCTGCATGTCAACGGCAGATCCTGGCACTCCCACTGCCTGAGGTGTTCTGTGTGTCAAGCAGCATTAGATCGCCAGCCGTCTTGCTTCATCAAGGATGACAATGTCTACTGCCGGACAGATTATGTAAGGTGGGCTCGGGCCAGCCGCTCGCTTTCTCGTTTCTGAGATACATATACCTAGTATTATAAAACAAATTGCACTTACTATTTCAAAGTAAATCATGTTACTTTTTTAATATCATCATGTTACTTTTCGAAATTTTTCTAGAACAACTGGAGTGTTCCTTTTAAGTGACATATTAAATAATAATTAAAACGCCCTTATTTTTCGTTAAGAGGCCACTAGATTAGTGCATGTCTTACTTACACTAATCTAGTGATCTCTTAACTAACTAATCTAGTGATCTCTTAACTAACATGCAATATAAGCATTTTCACTCAAATATAAATCTGTGTTATTAAAGCACGAAAATCTTATTTATAAACCATCAAGTGGCAGAGAGGTAATAAACACAAACTAAGAAAATTTCAATGTTGAAATAATTAAGGGGAATGAAATAGAAGTATATTGAAAATGTTTTTAGGCGAATATTTCTTTTTATGCTGCTACCAAAAATTTATATGAAAAGTTAATTTTCTTAGTTAAAGTTTTCGATAGTTACTTAGTTCACGAATTTTAAAACAGGCAAAATACAATTTATAATTTATAGAAAGGTTTATTTCAATTTTATTATAGTGTAATTTACATATTCTTGATGCATTCATTCCCATGTGGCTTAGAAATCCGTCAGTACGTGCAGTTACTATTGTTTTACTGAACCAGAAAACAAGCAACAAATTATCTCTCATTCCTCAAAGGAATAAGGGACTCTCTTGCAAAGTTCCTGAGTAGTGAATTTCTTTAACGCTAGCTTAATGCAAATTGGGCACTTTAATATAAATATCTCATTAGCGTTTTGCATCTGAAAGTAATGCTACTACCCTTTCAACCCAAAGACGATTACACAGCAAATATGAGGAAACGATCCTACCAACGACATTCATGTAAGTTAGAATTATCAGAGAACAGAGATTTTGCATGCCACAGGTACAAGTGACCCAGAAACTAAGTATTCGCTAAGCTTTACATTTGTAGTTTCTGAAGGCAGAATTCAACTACAAAACATAATTGAAGGCAATTTGGTAAAAACCTTCCACTTATCACAAGTACTTCACAGGAATGGTTTGTGATCCAAGTCTCAGAACTACTGAACTGGATTCAAAGAAATGGTTTATGGACGGCTTCCTAAGATCAACCTATATGCTGCGCCGGAATAGACGCAAGCTGTATGAACGGATACGCTGTTCATTAGGTTTAATGAGGAGTAAAATGTATGTAAGATTTAATTTAAGTACGTTATTTTACTGCTGATAATAGTATATTAAAGGCCATCGGAGATGTCTTCTGCTAGAACAGTGAACATGTCTTCAGCTGACACTGTCTTATGCAAATCGACGCGCAGGTACACACATAGAATTTAGTGCAATGATTACTTTGTTTCCTCAACAGTGGGGCAATGGATTGTTTTTTAAAGAATGTCTGAATGAGGATATGTTTGGCGAGCTCTGAGGACGTTATTGTGAACTAGGTTATGTCATCGAAAGCTATCATTATACTAGAAAATTTCTTGTATGGGGGGATATCAGCTTACAATTCCGTGCAGCTCAACATGTGTTCAGTGCTGATATTTATAGTGATGTCAGCCTGCATCAGTATGTGAGACTTAGCGGCTTTTTAGGAGAACGCTTGGATTTCGGTTCTCCTTAATGGACTTTTATGCTTAATTCAGCAATGATCAAGCGATATCAAGTTACGTTATTTGACTGCTGCAACTTATGCGACGTTATCTGGCTAAGGGAAGGAATGCTTCCTGTTGGAGGACATTTGAAGGGAAACTGGATCGTATTCGTGTTACATACGGCGCAGGTTCTGGTGTATTTGATGGGAGTAAAGCACGAGAGATCTATTTGTCTAGGGGGAGGGATGCCTTCGGGGAGGACTGCCTAAGGGTATTTGGCTCATATCCATAACTGCAAGTGGATAAAACCAGGAAAACTCCCATGCAACTAGCTTGTTCGTTGAGATTCGAATCTAGGTCGAAATACCAGTATTCAGCGATTTTATCGCGCTGCTACTGGGGGGACGATTTTTGGAATCAAAAGACATAAAATGTCTGGATTTACCCGAGAGCTCACTGGACGTAATTTCATTTAACATGCGTGAGAATGATGAGACGAAACCTTCTCGAATAACAGATTCCTTATTAATTATAGGCGATTAATTTATAGGCGTGTGAATGTATTTTGAAATCTCCGTTACCGTGTATGAAAATAATTTTTAGTCATATGAAAAACAATACCTTATTACGGACTGTTATCAAGGTATATGAACATAAATGCATTATTTAAAACGAAAATTTTGAATTTGAATTGCTTAATTGTACCGAAGTATTAAATTTTCATTTATATTTAACGAAGAGGAATTAAGGAAATGGTACAGTGACGGAAAAATATGTTCATACACTGCTAAGGTTTGAAAACAGTTTAAAGTGTTAATTTTTAATTTAATTATTCTGCTTCATGTTTAAACGAATGATTTCTCTAGGCATTTAACACAATGAACATAGACATAATAAGTAATAAAATTAAAAAGCAAGATTTACATTTAGTGCAAAAAATTAATGGAAAAACTATTCATGCACATAACATTATGTTATTATTTAAAAAAACGAAAAATGTTTTTATATCGTATTTGACGGCATATAAGACGCACTAGCATATAAGACGTACCCTTATTTAGAAGGCCACACACATGTAGATGTAGAAAAAGTTATGTGTGTCTAGACCTTTATCCGGGCTAAAAATAGCATTCAGTATTGAAAGTTAACCTGTGTCCTTCACGTATAAGACGCAGGTAACGTTTTTGAGACTAAATTTAGGAAAAAACGTGTGTCTTATATGCCGTCAAATACGGTACTTAATGCAATATCATAGCTCGATTTGGTTTGGTTTATGTAATTACGACGAAGCCTCGAGAGCTATCTGCCTAAGGAGAGGGATGCCTTCGGGGAGGACTTGCTAAGGGAACTGGCTCCCATACACGTTACACATGGGGAAAACCTCGAAAACGCCCATGCAGCCAGCCCATTCGCGGAATTCGAATGTCGGACCCAACTACCAGTGTTTAGCGACTTTACCGCTTAATCGCTGGTGGATCGCATCATGGTTCGACCCGTGTTAGAATCCTGGGGAACGGGCTGACGGTATGGGAGTTTTCGTAGTTTTCTCCCATATAATTTGGATATGAAACTGTTTCCTTTAAAAGGTTTCCCTTCTATAGGCAGATATCCCTTGAATTGCTTTTCCTTCATCCATTAATCTAATCCACTTTTTTGGCAATGACTTGAAGACATTTAGGCATTGAACTTTCTAAATTCAAATGTTCCTTTTTGTTAATTTTTTCTTATTCTAAATAATACTTAAAAGTTCGTGTATCTGATGCTGAGCACGTTTGAAGTTTCCTTTTCATTTTGTTTCAAATATATTCGACTGGATATATATTTCAAATATATTCGATTGGTCTGGTGAGTGAAGTATTTAAAATATATGGTGCATACCATCAACAGCTCTTTTATAGCTTAAATTTTGTGTTCGTGATCCTTATCTTGCTGAAAATAAAAATTTCCAGAAATACCTAGCTTTTGTACACTCTGTTTTAAGTTGCTTTATAAGATATTAAGATAATTTATTTACTCAAAACACTAACAGTCATGTACAAGTTTCAAACACTACTTGCAGCCATACCCACCTTCCCCAAGCATACGCCATTATATTTTTACCATTGTGTTTTACCGCTACTTGTATATTTTCCTTCTTCATAGCTTCATACGCTATCCTCCGTGCTAATATGCATCTATCTGATTGCCAAACATTATATTTACATTCATAAGAAAAAAAATTACTTAAGCCAAAACTGCTTTAAGCTCGTTAATGAATTCTTTTTCAGATTCTAATATCTTCTCTCTGTGAGCTATGCTTGAGAATAGCTTTCGTCTAGCTACTCGAGTATGATATCCATATTTTTTAATCATATTTCTAATTGCCCTAGAAAGAACTTCTTTGGTGTTAGCTTCCCGAAATTCTGACGCAATCGAAGATGAACTCATAAAAGAGTTTAATTTCCTTCAAAATCAGTTAGTTGCTCTTCTCTTTCGCTCAGTTTCGATGATTTCCTGTAGTGATAATTATTTTCTATAATTCCAGTCTTTTTAAACTTATTTATAATATATGCATAGGAATAGGAATTTATTTACTATACTTACCACAAAGAGATTACGGCATAGAGATTTTGCATTTTCGAATTATTTTAGAATGAAATTTTAACATCAACTCGTGTGCCACTTGTTTCAGTACTCATTTTCACAAAAAGGATAAAGATTTACAAAAACAGTTGCGAAACAAGCAGAAGCAAGCAGTAAATTACGGTACTGGTTGTTGCTGTGATAACACAAAGACACTAACAAAAAAGAAATCGTATAAGAAAACTGAACCTTTTTAAGTACATGACTATTTTAAAGCAATTTTGATTTTTTAACGAATATTAGCTTATTACGTCTCCTTACCCAAAAAAAAATCTCAACTTTTAAGCACTTGACTTTTCGTGTCGTGTTGTTGCTATCGAGTCCATATTACATGGAAGAATAGAGTCGAGTTCTTATTAATCAAGTTGCCGAGTCCATATTACATGGAATCGAGTTGTCGAGTCCATATTACATGGAATCGAGTTGTCGAGTCCATATTAATCGATCTGTCGAGTCCATATTACATGGAATGGAGTTGTCGAGTCCATATTACATGGAAGAATGGTTGCCAGAGCCTACTCCAAAGAGAGGTTGGACTTCTACTTTCCACCTCCAGTTTTAAGAGAGAGCACCCCGTGGGGTGGTCCTGGGGTCTCCCACCCCTCTCCCCTTCCACCAAACTACACGAGAGGACTTTCGGCTCGCCGCATATTTAGAGGAGTGTCCCCATGCCGCACAGACACTATAAATTTACAAACACCCATATCTCCGGAATTCGAGCTCGGGCCC